GTTAGAAAATAATTGTTCTTAGTGGGTATATTTCGCAACACACAGAACTGATGTTTATGAGACGAGCGCGCATAGAATAAAAATGTTAAACCAGAGAACCAATTAAATACTAAAAAATCGACAAAGTTTGTGAAACGAATTCAAGTGCAAGTATCTACTCAGTCCAGCTCTTTCTCGGACAGTGACGAAAATATTGAAGCTAACAGAAATGATAATTTAAAGAAACCTAAAATATTTCAAAAAACACGACCTACCAAAGTTTCCACAGTAACTGAATGTGAGAAAAAAGGCAAAATTAAGAAAAAGAAGTATAATACAGATGATAGCGACAATAAAATAAAAGGCAAACTAATGAAAAAGAAGTCTAATGTAGATGAAAGTGACGATGAGATAAAAATAACTCTGAAAAAAAATAAAGAAACATCCTGTAAAAGTGTCCAGTTCAAGTGAAACTGAAAGTGAAGATGAAAACACACATAGACGAAAAGTCATACATACGAGTAGAAAATGGATCGACGAAGAAATAAAAGCAACTAACACCTACATTCCTATATACAGAACAAAATAAGCCCAGGCAAAGCATGGCAGTTTTAAAAAAAGAAATTGTTCTTCAAAACAGAACGTAGATGCAACTTAACACCTACGTCAATTATATTTATAAAAAGAAGGAAACGACTATTTATCATTCTTCCTATATAGGCTGGAAGGAACAAAACGAAGAACAAAGCGGAAACCCATAGCGAAACCATTCATCTTAACCCATAGCGAACTCATGAGATCTGTTCTCAGGAGCATGCCATCGAAATATGAACTTTATTTTTCGACTACTCATACAAAGTCTAGCTGACTTTGTATGAGTAGTCGAAAAATAAACAAGGACAACTTTCTAAATGGGAAGTCGAAACATAAAACTTCATAAATTCGACTTACATTCCCTGGGAAAAGTTTTCCAGTTTGATAAGTAGAACCTGTTGTGGTTTTCCACTTTGTCCGTCGCTTTGTTCCAATCCCTAAGGATAACGGTTTGGTCTAATTCGTACTGACATGTTTCAATCTCCTTTTGCAATTGTTCTATGCTATTCGATGCGGCGCGCCCGGTCTAGATCATACCTAAGGGCTCATTTATTTACAGGCGCAGCTCACCGCTGAGCGGGCGCTGAATTGCATTTTTGACAAGCGTTTGTATGAAAATGCTGTCAATTTATGTGTTCTGCGCCCGCTCAGCGGTGAGCTCGGCCTGTACATAAATGAGCCCTTAGGGGTAGGCTTACCTAATACTTTATAGTTCATAAATCAAATGCTGAAATTACTTATTAAGTAGTGAGTTGTGACATAAAAGTATAACCTATAAGTCAAGTTGCAACAAGGTTGCAATGTAATTATGTTTTTATAATAAATATTTTTTTAATTTTCTTTGTGGTTATTGTTTTGATTATTTAATTGTGAGGACTAAGTAAGTCAGGTTGCAATGTTATTGATTATGTTTCTTTAAAGTATATTTTTGAATCTTGTTTGAGATTATTGTATTTTTTTATAAGATAAGGGTGACAAACGAGCACACAGTCCACCTGATGGTAAGTGGTTGCTGTGGCCCATAGACATCTACATCTAAATCAAAATGCAGATGCGTTGTCACCCGTGAGGACTAAGATGGAGTGCCTCGTTTCCAGTAAAAAGGGTCTCCGGTTCTCTACACTCACCATACGATACGCAGCAGCGTTAAGGTGCTATTTTACGCTGGTATTCTGTGAGAGCGTGGTCCTTCCCAGGTCCAGTCGACCCATTCGTGCTACAACTATACCAGTAATACAACTGCAGCATGGCTCTATCACGTAAAAATTTGTTTTATTCTGTTTTTAAATGTCTAATTTGGTTTTTGTTTTTTAATTGTTTAATTCTAGTGACCAGCGACTTAATAAGTAGTTCAGGTTGCAATGTTATCAATTATTAATGTTTTTTAATATATCTTTTTAGTTTTGTTTGTGATTATTATTTTGAAATAGTGAAGCAGTGTTTTTGTTTTTAAAGTGCTTTAAATTAAAAAAATTAAAACACTTCGAAATAATTTACACAGATTTTTATTATTTAAAGTTAATAATCTAAATGCCGATTTTCATAAGTCTAACTTCAAACACATAGGACTTTCATATAACCTTACAAACCGCATCCTCAGACACCCCAATTAGTATATTATGTTATAGTCATAATACATACACTGAATTTCTAGTTAAACATGTTTATGCATTGATTATTTATTAAATTAGTTATACTAATTCCGGAAGAATGTTGTGGTCACCGTACAAAACCACGAACGCTAGGTATAGGTCTTGCTAGCCTAGTAGGTATTCGCTCGCGTTCGAGAAGAGTTAACGCCGCCGCCGCTTGACACAACTGTAGGTAGGTATTAGTGCCGACATAAGCCAACAATACATGATTGGTTACGTTAAAGAAATACCTACCTATGAACATTAACAGATGTCAGAACTCCGTGCATTGAGTTGTTTATTTAAGTCTAGTAAACATTTGATTGCATCTTTCAATCACACTTTTCAGGCTTTGGACTTTCGACTCAGAATAATTTTGTTTATTGATTAAGATACAATGTTAATGTTCGTTACAAAATGTTATGAATTTGCATAAAGTTTTAATTGTAATTGTAAATAATAATGAACTGCTAACACTAACATAATTCAAAGACGGCGTGTTTAAAAGATGTGAGTCAAGATTACAATAATTTTAAGAATCAAATATTTAACTTACTGACAACCTAAACTCTCATGCAACGTTGTATTTTAATACATTTTCAAAATGTCCACCACGGCTCCGTGGCGTGGTGGCTTAGCAATTGAGTTGCAGCGCTAAGGACCGCGGGTTCGAATCCTGCACGGAACAATATTTGTATGGCCTCCAAACAATTGTTCCGGATCTGGATGTTTGTCCTTGTGCAATTTTTGTACACTACAATACAAGAGAAAATCCTGGTGTGGAGGTTGTTTTAAAAAAGAAAGAAAATAATTTAGAAAGCAATTCAGTGTCATTTTTCACTATTCTAAAATCGTTCACTCATAGAATTACTATTTTTAGGTCCTCGGCACTTGTTGTCTCACTAAAATAAACTAATGATTTAATACGTCTCCATAAGAAAAGTCAAGAGGTTTCAGATCAGGGAGGTCAATGGCCTGGCCGCCGTGACCTTTATAAGGCACTCCATACTCTATATTTGTAAAGACTTTAACATACTTGAAATAAGGTTAAATTTTCTTTATTTTGTATTGAATGTCGGAATTTGTATTAATACAAATAAAACTGCACTTTTAAAAGTCTTATTGCCTTGAGTTACGGTTCATTTCAGTTTGTTTTGACTGTACAGGTTTAGTGTGACTATAAATTACGTAGTTCAATTATTTTGGGATAAAAAATTACCTATATTAAAAATGATAGAAATCGATTCAGTAAACGATTCTGAACAAACTACTTTCACAATGTGATATATATATATATATATATATATATATATATATATATATATATATATATATATATATATGTATACAGGGTCATTTTTAATTTACTAAAGACGTTTTGGGAATACGTTGGTTGCATCATTCCAAACAATTTTAGCGAAATCACTATTAACAGAATATAATATATTTACGAAAAAACTACTTTTAAGTTTTTGTTGTCATGTCTAACTCCTTTTAAATCTGTATTTTGTAGTACCTAAACAATTTCAGACTAAATCGTCAAAGAAAAATCCCGCACGGAACAAGTATTTTTTATGGCCTACAAATAATTGTTCCGGGTCTGGATGGTCCTCGTGCAATCTATGTTTGTAAACTGCCTCCAGGATACAGTAGAAAATCCTAAGTGTGGGGGTAAAATCTTTTAAAAAGAAGAAAAAAATGCCTTATTTATTTTACACTTGATATCAATATCACACATTGTATTGAAATCATTAAACACAATTAAATAAGCAAATAATATTCAAAAAAATCACAAATAATAAAATTTATAGGTAGGGTGGATATCTCTATTACCAGCCTCTAGTGCCAATTTCAACTTTAAAATTCGTACTATTTTAATAACAGCCACTATATTTTTAAAATCTTGTTTTCATCGATAGGTTATTTATCTGAAAATGTAATAAACAATTCTTATGAATCTAGGGGCACGGCAGTGCACCCAGATTATAGGAAAATGTTGCCGAGTGCCAATTTTCGTAGTATTTTGAGATAAAAAAAAACTAATTTTTTACAACGGCATGCAATTTGTAAACACGGAAATGTTCTATTTTTTTTTTCATTTCTACGTAACCCTTTGAGCCCCGTGGGCCGTTGCGAATTGCATGCCATCAATTATTATAGCTTAAATTTGTTCCAACTACGTTATATTACAAAGGCATGCAATATAATGTCACGGAAAAATACTAAAATTCTTTACACAAAAAGAAGCCATTTTCTTTATGACGTGCAAGCACGCAAGGGCTCGTAACCCTTACATATTTTAGGGTTAGTTATCAATTCTTAAAAAGACATGCAGGATAAAATGGGAGACTATTTTCTGTCACCATCTCCCGATATAATAGAATTAATGGCGCACGCAAACATTCGTAAGAGTCGATCGGTAGGTAAAAACGTTGCCACATTTAATTTGGGATAATTTCAAATAAAAGTAGAAGCCTTATTATTTACTCGTATTTTCAAAAACTGCAGTAACGTTATATCATTATTTATATATTTGAACTTATGTTTAAAATTTGGCTACTCTGAAAAATAACCCTGTATATTCAATACGTCGTGACATTCAATACTTACCTATGTAAGTATATTCAAAGAGAATATAATCACTACGTTTATATCAGTATATTTTTTATCTTGGACAAGTTATTAAAAATTTAAAGACGTTTGACTGTCAATCGATTGCAAAATATTTTTGTAAGAAATTGTTTCAAATTTTCACGAGTATTAATATTTTTTTACTTATTTGTGTTACAATACGCGATGTCGGCAGAAGAGGACAAAAATACGTATTCTGACTGTAGTAATATAATGAGGCAAAAACCGAATATGAAAGTTACTGAAGGTAGTTATACTTAAAATTGCATTCTATTTCGGTTACCAAATATTTAAAATTCTACATAATACTTAATTTTATCTACAATATTAAAAACTATGATAATAAAAAAAAAAACTAAAACTAGAAACTTAATTATTATCATATAGTCCTACTCCCCGCGGTATCGTGCCAAGAACGCTGGCTGCGTTTTCCCGCTGAATGGCTATACTTAGCCTTTGAGCGAGGAAAGAACCAGCCCTCTTATCACCAGCAGTAACTTAAAATATATTAATCGTCAGCATCAGCAGCTCGTAGAGCTCACTGCTGGATATGATATAATATAATAATTTTTAGGGAGGATTTCTCTTAATCGCCACGTTCGTCACGGTCTGGATATTTTGCGGGTTGGATTTAGAATCGTTTAGCACGAATTTGGCAGAGTAAGGTATTTTATTTTGTACAGATTTGGTCCCCGATTATAATAATACCACTCACATTAATAGATAATGCACCGTTATCGAAAAAATAAATAAAAACTATTATAACCTAAAATGCGTAAAACATGGAAAAATTATTGTGAAAGCTGGATAGCATACAGAATTTTGTATAAGTGCGAAAAAGATGTAAGACTAGTGTCACATTATTCTACTGTCTATATTCCCTGTCAAGAGATATTTAGCAAAGACTATAATAACAGAGAAAATTTTACCGTCTTGACATATTAATATTTATGGAGAAGAGAAATTATAAGGAATAAAAGAGATACTTTTGAGGAATTAATAAAAAAAATTATGTTTACTGTTTTATTTCTGAATTGTTTAAATCTGCCCAGAAATACTTGAACACCCAGAAATAATTTCAGTTGTAATAGGTTAGAAGGTTGTGGCGGGAGCGAAGGCAACCTGACTTTATAGATAAGATATCTGATCTGATCGAATTTGTACTAAAATTTCGTAGTCTTGCCTGCCCTACTCCTAGAGTGTTTTTGTAAGGGCGAAGGGGCTGCACTTCCCGCAGCGCCGAAGCCGTTGTAGAAGTAACTTTGGGTATAATAAATATTCCTGAGTAAAAAAATGAGGTTATGAATTTACAAAAAAAAAAAACATTACTCATAAACTATACTCTTACGCAACGACGGAAAGGTAGAGGGGCTTCCCCTGATAGAGTACACTCCTGCTACCCTCTTCCTCCCTCCTGCCGAAGATGATAAATGTTACTTTCAGGTTATATCTATTTGATTTTCTTTTTGATTTTTCCCAAGAACGGTGTATTAGCTTTTAATGGGAGTGGTGTCGGTAGTAAGGGGACGCTCCCCCCTTCCCCTCCTCTCATCCTCTGCCCCCTGTTCCTACCAAACGATTTTAAATTGCAACCGCTATATATGATATATTGTCATGTTTTGCATGATGTACTAGGACTAGAATGAGGTTCAAAACTTTATTACTGACGGTTGGAAAACAACAGCACATGAATGATTTTGTAGCTGCTTTTGTTGCTTAATGTTTTGTCGATTAATACAACATTTTAAAATACATCGAAATTGATACAAATTCGATGCTTTACTATCGATATATCGCGATTGGCTTACTGTCGTTATTAGTATTATCTATCCTAATTATGATAGCTGTTGATCTTCCAAATAAAATAAAATAAAATATTAACCCTTGAGGCAATCTTTGTAACTGTGGACTCTTGATGGGTGTAATGAGTGATTGAAAAAATAACGTGTATGTACTTATGTACCTACGCACGTAAGAAGTTATACTTCTTTAGCGTAACAAAACAAAAATAACTAAAAATTATATCCCGTGTGCCAGGTACGCTTTGTTTGTGAGAAAAAGACATTAAATGCAATTACTATCCGTTTAATTAAATGTTTAATTGAAATTTATACCGGTAGTAACAGACAACAGCTTATGATCCAAAAGTCATTGGCGAATTTGAAGTAGATGGCACTGCATCTACTTCAAATTCTAAAAAAACTTGATTCGTTGGTGATTGGTAGCCTTGAGCAAGGATTTTTTTTCGCAACCTATACATCCGACAATTTTCCGCGTTTGTCTTTTTTACTCTTTTAATTCCATTCGCAGCTTTCTTGCGGTTGCGATAATTTTTACACTTCTCAGCATTTGACAAAGGCGTTTTGAAATCTGAAAAAGAAATAGATAATTATTTATAAAGTGATCATTAAGAAAACATTCGACAAACGAGCACACAGCCCAGCTGATGGTAAGTTGTTTCTGTGGCCCATAGACATCTACATCTATCCTCGATTACGAAACAAAATGCAGATGTGTTGTCACCCGTGAGGAATAAAATGAAATGCCTCGTTCCCAGTAAAAAGGGTCTCCGGTTCTGTACACTCACAATACGAAACAGCAGCATTAAGCTGCTATTTTACCCTGGTATTCTGAGAGAGCGTGGTCCTACCCCGGTCGAGCCGACCCATTCGTGTTCCAAGCACAATGTAGCCGCAGTATGGCTCTACCACATTCACGTTTAAGTCACCTAACTGTAACTAAAGTCGACAATGCCTATATTTGTATTACTTAAGTTATCAACTGATAATGACTAGGATTAAAAATATCTATTTGTTGTCGTGGAAGGTACATTTATAGTATCATCTACAGCAGAGGTTATCAAACGTATACTAATAACTAATACGGTCGGTACGGCCTTTGAAAATCAATTATTTTTCAGCGCCCTCAATTTTTTTATACTCCTAAAACTTGAAAACCACAATTTCATTACTTTAATTAATTTAGTTACGGTGTGCTATATTAGTCGGTTCGGGTGTTTAAGCTTCACAATATTACCAGTACATTGTAAAATAGATATTATTACGAGTGAGAGCAATTAAAACGCAACTTTATAATACAAGAACTAGCTGTGCCCGCGTATATAGTTTTTACTTAAAGAATTTGACGTTTACGTAAGAGAATATTAAACGATTTATATTATTACTGTATCAATAAGTGGTAACAAAATAAATCGTTATCTTTTAAGTTCTAAGTCGTTTATGATAGAGCTTCTGTGTAAACGCCGTTAGAAGGCAACTTTTTTTTTTTTTTTATAGGATAAGGGTGACAATCGAGCACACAGTCCACCTGATGGTAAGTGGTTGCTGCGGCCCATAGACATCTACATCTATCCTCTATTACAAATCAAAATGCAGATGCGTTGTCACCCGTGAGGACTAAGATGGAATGCCTCATTTCCAGTAAAAAGGGCCCCCGGCCACCTGCACTCACCAAACGAAACGCAGAGGTAAACCTCTCCTTCACGCTGGTATTCTGTGAGGTCGTGGTACCACCCCGGTTCGAGCCGGCCCATCCGTGCGACAGCGAAAGCTGCCGCGTGGCTCTACCACTACACGTGACTTAGCCGGGGTGTACGGTGTACACAAAAGGTTACGGGGCCTACGAACGCGGGAAAAAGCAACATACCTACTCGTAGAGTTGGCCATGTGCAAAACAATACTGAGGCAGGCCTCTGTCACACTTGCTACCTGCGTGAAATAATTACCTACAATCGCGAGCTGCCCCAGGGGTAGATTGCAGTCGGGGCTAGCGCGCTCTATACGATTGAATGTTAAAGTTTTTTAACGCTGTTTACGTAAATATTTTTTTGTAAATACTTGTTGAAATACTCGTCGAAATAGTTTTTGTTTTAGTGTTTACTTATCTTCACGCAAAATCCCTGACGGGGTAGCCAGAGAGATCAGATCGCCAAGTGTCACGATCCTTACATACCTCTTTCGCTTCTTTCAGATTCATTATCTTCTTCATACATGCACGTCTAAGTATCCGAGTACTCTTGACCTCCCCTCTTCGAGCAATTTGCTCACATGGTCTTCGAAAGTTAGTCTCGGTCTACCTCGACAATTAAATATACTAAACACTACCTCGACACGAGGTATATTTAATTGTAAGATAAAATAGTTGAAAAGTTTTAATGTAATTTAAGAATAATATATATGTATATTAACTATATATTTCATAAATTATAATGGCAAAACGTCGTTCCTACTATAATTGTTGCGGGGATGGATGCTTAACCCTTTCACGTACAAAACTGATGTGTAAAAGTTTTATGTTAATGATAGGTTTAGGTTGTGTGTTGAGGGATATTATAAGCCTCTTTCTGGTAAAAATTATAAAAGTTTTTAATTTTATTAAATTTATAAGTATCTAAATGAAATTACAAATCAACCATCGCCCCCCATTTTTTTCTGGGCCCGTTAACGCCCACCCTCTAGGTTTCCAACGGCGTTATCGCCCACTTTGAGAAAGACTGATCTTCAGGAAAAAAATTTAAATAAAATACAGAATTACATACCAAAAATGTTTATTCAGGTACCGTTAAATCGTCGAATGCTGTCTTTATTTACACTTCGCAATTTACGTTATATAACAAATATTACGCCTTGAGGCGATCTTTACGGGCCAATTTATAACTGTTGACTCTTGATAGATGTAATGAGTGACTGAAAAAAAACGTGTATGTACCTACGCACATAAGAAGTTACACTTCTTTAGCGTAACAAAACAAGTATTACTAAAAAATTTATCACGTGTGCCATGTACTCTTTGTTTGTGAGAAAAATACATTCAATGCAATTCATCATCATCATCATCATCATTACAGCCCTTCACAAGTCCACTGCTGAACATAGGTTTCCAAAAAATGCCACAAAGCACGGTCTCGAGCCACCTGTATCCATTGACTTCCTGCATGTCTTACCAGGTCGTCACTCCATCTAGCGTGGGGACTCCCTACACTTCACCTGCCGGTACGAGGCTGCCACTCGAGAACCTTTCTTCCCCATCGATTGTCGGTTCTTCGAGCTATACGGCCGGGCCAATGTCAATTCAGCATACTAATTATTTGGGCTATGTCAGTTACTCTGGTTGTACTGCGGATATCCTCGTTTTTAAGTCTATCACCCAGAGAAACGCCGAGCATAGCCCTCTACATAGCTCGGTGAGCGACTTTGAGCTTCCTCATCCGGCCAGCAGTGAAGGACCACGTCTCAGATACATAGGTCATCACTGGCAACACGCACTGGTTGTACAGTATCGTTTTCAAGTTTTCAGGTATACCTGACGGGAAGATGTGCCGTAATTTCTCGAACGCTGCCCAGCCGATTTCAATCCGTTGATTGACCTCTCATTCAAAGTTAGACTTACCTAGTCGGACTATTTGTCCCAGGTAAACATATTCGTCAACAACTTCGAGCTTAGTGCTCCCAACAACTACCGGCATAGGTGTGACATGGACCTTAAACACGTTTTTTGTTTTGTCTATGTTCATCTTAAGACCTATCCGTTGGGAAACACTATTGAGGTCATTGAGCATAGTGGTCAAGTTCTCCATCGATTCTGCCATAAGGACTATATCGTCGGCAAATCGAAGGTGAGTGATGTACTCGCCATTGATGTTAATAAAGTATCCTTTCCAGTGCAGTAGTTTGAAAACGTCTTCCAATGCAGCGGTGAAAAGTTTCGGGGATATTACATCACCCTGTCTTACACCTCTCTACAATTGGATAGATTTCGTATTCTGGTTCTGTACTCGAATAGCCATCGTAGCCCTACTGTACAGACACTTCAGCACTTCGATATACCGACAGTACACTTGGCACCACTGAAGGACCGCCCAAATTACGACGGAATCAAAGGCTTTCTTATTATAGTCCACATACGCAAGGCAAAGTGGCAGATTATACTCCTCTGTCTTCTGTACAATTTGCCGAACTGTATGTATGTAGTCTATGGTGCTAAAGCCTTTTTGGAAACCGGCTTTTTCGCGAGGCTGAAAGTCATAGAGTCTGCGTGCGAGACGATTCGTAATGCCTCTCGAAAACAGCACGTAGACGCGGCTCAGAATGGAAATGGGTCTAGTTCTTCAAGACAGCGTTGTCGCCTTTCTTGAAGTACAAGACCACCGCACTTTGCTCCACGCCTCCGGAGTAGTGCCACCTTAGGGGACGGAATTAAAGAGCTTCTGAAGGACTTCAAGTACCGGTTTTCCATCCGCTTTTAGAAGCTCCGCTGTAATTCCATCCTCGCCCGGGAATTTCTCGTTTTTAAGGTGCTGGAGAGCCATTCTAATCTCGCTCAGACTGACGTCCGGGATATCATCGGAATAGTGTCGGACTAGACTTGTGTTTGGATCGTTACTCACTCTTGCGTGTTACTCCAACGATGACGTGTACAGCTGCCCATAGAACCTCTCAATGTCACTTAAAATCTCAAGTGTTCCGCAAACGACGCTGCCACATTCGGTCTTCAGCTTCGACAGTTGGCTCATTCTGTCAGACAGATCTCTGGCAAAGACTTTGGACCCTTAGTTCCGCTCGATCGCTTCTTCAATAGGAGTAGTATTAAAGTTGCGTAAGACCCGCCGCATGCATTTGGAGATCTGTCTGTTCAGTTGCCTGTAAGCTATCAAGTATACTGAAGACTGCGGTTTCATTTCGTCTTACAGCCATGAGATTAAGGGTGTGATCGTAGAGTTTTTGTGTTCTTCTGCGGTGGGTCCTGCAAAACTTAGGTGGTCGGACCTAAACATGGACAGTTTCCACCAGCTTGTCATTCATATCGTCCACTGCGTTGCAATCTTTTAGCAACTGAAAACGGTTTTGTAACTCGGTTTCGGGACTTTGGATTAGAGCACGAGGGGTACGGAGCGTTGACTTCATTAGCCGACACCTCTCCAACTTAACGTTTAGGTTCAGTGTGCCTCTAACCATTCGGTGATCGCCACCAGTTTTCACCCTCGCGATCACTGAGACATCACTGAAGTTGCCGTCTAGTCGTCATAATGAAATCCATCTCATTTTTTGTCGAACAGTCTGGGCTCGACCAGGTCCACTTCCTGTGGGACCGCTCCTGGAAGAAAGAGTTTATCATAAAGAGTCCGTCTTTCTCCATGAAGTCGCCCAGCTACTGGCCCCTTGGGTTCCGTTGCCCTATTCCGAATTTACCTACTTTCAGCTCACCGTTCTCTCTTGTGCTTATTTTTGCGTTGAAGTCTCCCATTAACACCGTATATTGGGTTTTGGAGGAATGCATGGCTCTAGAGATATCCTCATACATTTCCTTCACCTCCTCATCGAAAGTTTCGTGATTCTGAGTATAAGGTACGAGACCCTGGTCGTCACACTCACAATCTTTACAACGTTGTTAACGAGAGACTTGTGGACGATAAATCCGACACCTCCTTGGGACAGATGGTCGCCCTCCCGGTGATAGAACAAGTTGCCGGATTCGAGGATTACCGTGTCCTCTCCCTCTTTTCGGAACTTGGATAATCCTATAGTATGCCAGCGCAACTTGTCTCTTCTCTTCTTCCAGCTGCAGGATCTTCTCGTCAGTTCTCAGGGTGCGTGCGTTATAAGTTGCCTGGTCGAGTCGTCGTAGGTGGCAACCGAACCTCCACCGCAGATTCTTAGCACCCCCTGCACCGCCGTTACCATGGCGGCCACCGTAGCCAGGAAAAGCGAGGCCGCCGAGGACTGGAAGCCGTTTATGAGTGTCAAAAATGCCATTGTTATCGGTTTAATTAAATGCTTAATTGATATTTCTACCGGTAGTAACAGACATAGCTTATGATCCAAAAGTCATTGGCGAATTTGAAGTAGATGGCATTGCGTCTACTTCAAATTCTAAAAAAACTTGATTCGTTGGTGATTGGTAGCCTTGAGCAAGGATTTTTTTTCGCAGCCTATACATCCGACACTTTTCCGCGTTTGTTTTTTTTACTTTTTTAATTCCATTCGCAGCTTTCTTGCGGTTGCGATAATTTTTACACTTCTCTGCATTTGACAAAGGCGTTTTGAAATCTGAAAAAGAAGTAGATAATTATTTATAAAGTGATCATTAAGGAAACATTCGACAAACGAGCACACAGCCCAGCTGATGGTAAGTGGTTGCTGTGGCCCATACACATCTACATCTATCCTCGATTACGAAACAAAATGCAGATGCCAGTAAAAAGTGTCTCCGGTTCTCTACACTTACCATACGAAGCACATCAGCGTTAAGCTGCTATTTTACGCTGGTATTCTATGAGAGCGTGGTCCGGTCCCGGTCGAGCCGACCCATTCGTGCTACAACTATATATAGCTACAGCCTGGCTCTACCACGTATACGGCATAAACATAATGAAAAGTTCTAAATTATTTTATTACAACATTGTCGAATTTCGTTTTTATTTACATTACTCAATTTTAGTTAATACTAAATTCTTTTGTTATAATTTAAAATTAAAAACTGTGCAACCGAATTAAATTTAAACTATTCAGAATAACTCAAAAACCATTGGTCAGACGTTGACCACATGAAAAGTACCCGTTTTCAAATAAATAATTTAAAATTAAAAATTTTGTACAACCGACTTCAATATAAATTATTAAGAATAACTCAAAAACTATTGGTCAGACCTTGAACAAATTTATATGTGACCACATGTGAAGCACCAGCTTTCAAATGAAAAAAAGAAATTGAAATCGGTTTACCCAGAAAAAAGTTATGAGGTACATAAAAAAAAAAAACATACAGTCGAATTGAGTACAGGAGGTACTCAATTCGACTGAATGTATTTTTTGTATCTTTTTGAAGTCAGTAGAAAAATAAAGTTCTCAATGATCAATTTTACTTATAAGCAATACTTTTGATTGTTTTTTCGAATCCTGATCATGCAGAGACGGGAAACAGTGATCTTTTAAAGTTGAACATTTGTGTAAAAAAAAAACTATAGGTATATGATAATCCCGGTGACAATTAATTGACGGCTCCGTGGCGCAGTGGGTTAATGAGTTGCAGCGCTAAGGGCTCCCGCACGGAACAAGTATTTGTATGGCCTACAAATAATTGTTCTGGGTCTGGATGTTTGTTCTTGTCAAATCTATTTATGTGAACTGCGCCCGCGTTCACCGCGATACAGGAGAAAATCTTAGTGTGGAGATAACGTTTTTAAAAAAAATGTAATTTGTTTGATAAAAGAAGTTATATGTTAGGTATAAATATATGAAAGAGTTTACATCATTATGCTGAGAATGCAAAACTGCGATACGGTCTCCACACTTAAGTTTGTGTTGCAAAACTTTTACAATGTTTACTTTTACCTTTAATATACGCCATAACAATTTTTTTTTTATGTTGAACATTTAACCATAAATTCAAATACATTAACGGTTTTACTAAACATAACTCTTTCCCTTACTGCCTTATGCACAGAGATAGCTAGAAAAATTGGCGCCAACTATAGAACTCTGCCGGCGTTCGAAAAAGGACTATTCGACTATGTTCACATTAAGCATTATTCCCTTGAAGAGAACAAGTACCTGCAGTGCAAGTGGCTTGAGTACAAGAAGAATTTCGAAACGAGAACCTTTAAGCCCTTCCAGTTTCCCAGTCATAGGTAATATATATACCCATCATAGATTTAATCTTGTTTATCACAATATACGTATTTCGGTCACGGCGGCCTGTATTCGCCGGAATAACGGAGACTAGCCATCTGCGCAGGGTAGGATTGTAGTACCCAAGTGCATGCGCAAACACAGAAATGAACTCTTTATTACCTCACTCTCATAGTCCGATGGGACGGTAATTCGACAAGAGGTGACATAGGACCATAGCCAAATGCTTAAGACACCGCAAAAAAATGCACCTCCTTTCATCGAATAGTTTAGGAGTATGACACGACTAACGAAACTGGATTTTTGATATAGGTAAATTCATGTCTTTATCTTGAATATGCTTGTTCAAAAACACGATTGTATAATTTTGACTCGATCATAATAATTTGCGAAAACAGCTCTAAAAAATCACTATAGTTGGAATTCCAACGAAATTATTTAATATATATATGCTTGGAAACCACTCGAATACATTCATAACATCAATATTCATAATTTACTTGCTCATTATTTTGATTACTAAAATCAATAATTATTTAAAAATATTTTAAGATTCTAAGCGATTTCTAAACGATCTGAAACGTCGCGGGCGCTACGCAATTTTAGACCTTATGACGGCGTATTTGAAGTTTTTATAGAAATTATGTTTTACTCTGGTTAGTCCGGCGATAGCCCGCTTCAACGGTTTTCGATGTGTCGCCTTAACTACTGCACCATCGTATTTACGACCTCGTTAAAAAACCCCCTCAGTGTGAATTTTATATCGTAACGCAAGTATATATACGTATATACGTATATCGTAAGAAAGGCTGCCCGCAGGGTGGGGTTCTCTCACCTCTCCTGTGGAATATGGTCATTAATGAACTCATCAGCAAATTAAATGACAATCACTTCTATACAGTAGGTTATGCTGATGACCTGACAATACTGGTCTCTGGAAAGACAGCAAGCATAGTGTGCGACCTGACCCAAGCGGCTCTCCGTATAGTGGAGAGATGGTGCAGGAAACACGACTTAACCGTCAATCCAAATAAAACGGTTTTAGTTATGTTCACACAAAAACGAAAGCTGAATAACTATCATCCTCCAAGTCTTTTTAGCACAAAACTCCAGCTATCCTCTGAGGTAAAATATTTAGGTCTTACCTTGGACAGCAAACTTAACTGGAATAAACACATAGAAAACAAAATCAACAAAGCTAGTATAACTTTCTGGCAATGCAGAAACATGATTGGCAAAAGATGGGGATTGACGCCAAAAATCATACTGTGACTTTACAAAACTGTAATTCGGCCCATGATCACATACGGCGCTCTGGTATGGTGGACCAAGACAAATGAAGCCACCATAATTAAAAAGCTTCAGCGCTACCAGAGACTGGCATGTATGGCTGCTACAGGCTGCATGAGAACTACGCCAACAGCAGCCTTAGAAGCGATGCTGGAGCTAACTCCGCTTCATCTACATATACAACAAGAAGCGACTTTAGCTGCCATCAGACTCAAGACCCTAAATCTTTGGAGTAAGAATAGTGTCCCTCATACAGGCATAATTGATAGAATTCACTCAAAAATTCCTATCCTACAAGCCAAATACGATAGGATTCCTAAACAATTTGTTTTCGATAAGAAATACAAGATACAGTTAAATGAAAACAGCCAGCCGGAAGGATTAAGCCCAAAAGAGCTTAGAATTTTCACCGATGGTTCTAAAACAAATGAAGGTGTAGGTTGTGGAGCTTTCTCTGAAGACCTCAATATTCACATATGCACACCGCTGGGTACCTATAACACGGTCTTTCAGGCGGAATGTATGGGTATCATTCAAGCGGCCATAGCAATAGATGCTAGGAAGGTTAATGACTTCCCCATCAGAATACTGACCGACAGTAGGGCGGTACTCCAAGCCCTGAGATGCAATGTGGTGAACTCGGGACTAATATATGAATGCCATCAACGATTAAATGAGGTATGTAAAAACAACAATGTGACCCTGCAATGGATAAAGGGACACAGTGGATCCAGAGGCAACGATGCAGCAGATGAACTGGCCAGAAGAGGATCGGCTTTGGCCACTATAGGGCCGGAACCAATCATACCAATCCCCTTTGGTAACGTTTGTTCACTGGTACGTAGACACTTCACTAATCAACACGCTCAGCTTTGGAAAAATCTAGTAGACTGTAGACAAGCTAGGGATGCCCTGCCTGAAACTAACAGTCGCTTAACAAAAGTTTTAATGAGACTGAACAAGCCGCAGATTAGGATAGTAACAAGTGCTATCACAGGACACGGCACCTTTAACAAACATTTATTTACTATAGGTGTTACAGATAGTCCCCTGTGCAGGGCATGTATGGGGGAGGAAGAAACGGCGGCCCACGTGCTACTGAAATGTCCGGAGGTCGCTACATACAGGGCTAAACATCTCGGCACGCCGGGATCACTCTCCGAAGTTGCATGCAACATCAAGGGCCTGTTGAGCTTCTTCGGAGAGATCTCATGGCTCGAATAATCACATTATTCCTGCCCACACGCAAAATACGCGCATAGACGTGGAGTTGCGGAAAACAGCCCGTCGTAAACTAAACTAAACTAAACTAATCGTAACGCAACCGAGAAACTGTATTACAGAACTTACAAAACATAGTCACGTTAACGTCCGCCAGGGGCGCTGTTCATTACAAAACATAGTCACGTTAACGTCCGCCAGGGGGCGCTGTTCATATTTCTATACAATTTAGGTCAATGACGAAACGAAAACGTTAGTACTACAGGCATTTATAAACAAGAAAATATTTAAAAAGGTCATATGAAAATATTTAAGGTGTTCAAGATGTAATGAGTTCCTCGTCAGGACTAGAAGGAAGAATTCCTTGCGTCCATACATTATCTGTAGCTTTTAGGTAGTGGTTTTGTCGATGTAATATATAGCTATTAGGTAGTCATTTGCACGTGTTTGTCTACTGTCAGTGGGTTACTGTCAACGGCATCGACAGATTATAAGCATTGCGGCAACAATACCGTGGCATGATTTGTCGCCAGCCATTTCGTAACTGTATTCCAATATTGCGATAACTCAGGATTACAATGAAACAAGTCTCCCGTGTTTAATGGCGAACTAAAACTGCTGTGACATTACAAATAGTTATACAGGGTTATTTTGTAATATACGCCCAAATTTGCAGAGAAGGTTCAGAATAAGTAATATAAGCGAATGGTGAAGTAAATATTTATTAAAAAAAATCTCAAACGTTCTGACCTTTTTATCTTTTTTATTCAGAATGCGTGACTAACTGATTGTCACTCATAAATATCTGACGTCTTCTATTTTACTACGCATGCACACATTCGTAAGGGTCGTTCGACTTAAATGGTGAGAAAGCCAGTATCGTAACCATTGTGGTGAAGGGGAATACGTTGTTGAATGGTATTAGTGCGACTTTAGCACGTAAAAAATAGTCAGCAGTTTGTAAAAGGCTAATAAAACAAGAATAATGTGAAAAGAATTCACATTCATAGACACAATAAAATCAATGTAGTAATAGAACTGCTTGTAACTTTATGGTTATTAAATAATTAGTTCAAATAATATAGATGCAATTCGTATTTAAGCCTTAAAATTATTTACAGGGATCTGCACTTCCGCAATGGATGCATTCGATTTCTGCCATCGGAGTCGATACATCGTCATACCGAATATCGAATGAAATTAAAACCGGGACCTGGCGTCGATATATATGGTCAAATGCCAATACCTCAGGAGCTGCTAATGAAGCGCGGCAAAGTTGAAAAAGATGCCGTAAATACGACGAGGGAAAGGAAAAATAAGAAAAATAATTAATTTGCATAAAATAATTTATAAATACCTAGTTATTGAAGTTTCTTTATATTTTAAGTTCTATATTTTAAGGTAGATATCTTTTTGTATCGACTCTATGTTTACCAACATTTTTGGAATACATCGAAAACAGTCTTACGTGCTAGAGCCATTCCGCAGCTATAGTAGTAGTATAGTTGTAGTACGAATGGGTCGACTTGACCAGTGTAGGAACACGCTCCCAAAGAATACCAGTGTAAAATAGCAGCTTAACGCTGTGTTTCGTATGGTGTGTAAAGGCCCGGAACCCTTTTTACTGGTAAAGAGGCATTCCATCTTAGTCCTCACGGGTGACAATGCATCTGCATTTTGATTCGTAATCGAGGATAGATGTATATATCTATAGGCTACAGGAACAACTCAATATCAGATGTATTGTGTGCTCGTTTGTCACCCTTATCCTAAAAAAAAAGCATTAATATAAATTGCGAAACAAATCATGCAACAGTGCAAACGTGAAGCTTAATAAACCCTATGTCGAACATGTATACATTACATTATTAAGTTTGTAGGCGCATCTATAAGAGATTGAGCGAGAGATTGAGTCACTCTAGCAGAGCGTCATATCGATGGTGGAGAGTTGGAATTGAGGGTATAAAGTTCAGTATAGGTGGCGAGCGCGAGAGATTCCATTTGAGTCAGTTCTACGAGTGAAGTCATTTTACCCATGCTAAGATAGAGTCGTGGTTCTGCCCGTTGTGGTCATTTTTCTGGTGCAGGCAAGGAGGATGGTGCTGCTGTTGGTTTGCATACTATGGTGTTATCATGTAATTATGTCCTTCACGTTATACCAGTAAAGTGATTGTGACGAGGACTTATTACGGTATGGTCGAAATGCAATTGCCTATACTGAATGTATAGTGCAGTAACGCTGTGTTATTGCCGTTTAGGGTTAATTGCGTAGCGAGAGAGCAAGTGGAACATTTTTTTTATAGAAGAGGCGGCAAACGAGCATGCGGCTCACTTGATGGTAAGTGACCGTCCATGAGCGACCGCAACATCAGGGGTATTGCAGGTGCGTGCAACCTATAGTGCCAAACACGGCGGCAGCCTGCAGAATGCAACCGCGATGTTAGTGTGAATGGTACCACACTCCGTACAAGACAATAGTCCGACGAGTCTAGAAGGGCTTCGACGGAAACCTGACATTTGTGTGTGATAGCGGATGTTCAGCCTGTTCTCTTGCTTGCGCAATTAATCAATAATAAGACAGCGTTACGCACTATACATTCAGTATAGAGAAATTACAGTACGACCATACCGTAATATGTCCCTGTCACAATTACATAGCAACAACAACACCACCCATCTCATCGTAACCCAGGGCAGCCTCTCAGCAACACCATCCTCCTTGCCTGCACAAGAAGACTCATCACAACGAACAGAACCAGGACACTATCTTTGCACTAGTAGAATGACTGGCGGAATCTCTCGCGCACCGCGCCTGCAATGAACTTTATACTGTATAAACGAGTGGTGGTTTCTCGATATACCCACAATTCCATCTTGCCGCTATCGATATGACTCACCGCAAGAGTGACGCAACCTCTCGCTCACTTTCAATCTAATCCATATTTTATAGACGCACCGACATATTGCTATAGTGCTTGAAAATAAAGTTAAATATAATAACTATGTTCTAAAGATGTATAAAGTACGAATTGCACTCGACTTTAGCTTTCGCCATTTTCCTTCGTTAACAAAGCAGTGTATAGAGAAGTGCTTTGAGCAAATACGACTATTTTTAGTCCAATGGTTTTGCGCCCGTGGAATTACTTGTCGACTTCGCCGATAACTCTTTAAATCAAATCACAATTATTTAAATAATTTTTATATTTAAATGTATTTTAGTGATTATTTAAACAAATATAGTCTCATATTTACAAATAAAAGACTTGTTTTTTTTTTCACACTAATGTGAAGAACAGTTTATTTACAGTTATAATGTAATTTAATTCTAGGATAATATAAACCTACACACCGGTAGAAGCTTACGAATTCTGAACCATGTTCCTTACGGGAAGAGTTAGATTTGTATCCTATTATAAAACATGCCATCTTTAATGTTATATTTTCTTTACAGATATCATTTCACAATAATATTTTAAGTAAAATATTATAGACATTACACGTCAAACGACATTATACATAATACGATCAATGATTTCAAAACGAAGCATCTAAAGCCATCTAAACATTTTACTTATAACTTCTTCAAACAAGCAAAAGTAGCGCCATCTGTCTTAACACGTACGAACTACGTGAATGCCGCGTTGCATTGGTGAACGACGTAACCAGGGCCGGATTTCGTAGTAACAATTATTTCATATTGTGTAGTATGTAGTAACATAATGCCACTATACTACGCAAAAATACCTTAATTAAATCTTCAAGACTTGTAATATTGGTGACTCCGTTTACTTTTTAATGTTTACCCTACAACATCGATAATTTCTGTATGTGCGGCAACACCAAATCGGGCAACAACAGAGTAGGCGTATTTCTCATGTGATGTTTTACTATTCCGGTCATCCTGATAGAGTGTGTTTTATGACTGAGTGCGAGAGACGATATCATGTTTATATCAATATTGTTGAATTTGTTATGAACATGATATCGTAATGGAATTTTATTTCAATTTAAAATAAAACACCGAAAAACGAATTACGTATGAATATATAATTCGGTTTTCCATGTACAATATTTTATGAGGCTCTGAATTCAAACCTGGAGTAAAAATTTAGAATCTTTTGGCAGGAGGGGGAGGGAGAGTAGGGGAGAGGGGCGTGTCCTCCACACCCCGGCACCACTCCCATGAAAAGGTAATACACCGTACGTGAGAAAAATTAAAAAGAAAATCCCATAGACCTAACATCAAAATGATAACAATGATCTCTCCGGCAGGAGGGGGAGCGGAGGTGTCCCCTAACACAACTGTAACGGTTCGTACACATTATATAACATAACATGTTATAAATGTGTTAGATAACGTGACACTGTTATATAACGTGACACAGTTATATAATTCGAACAGCAAGAAGACAAAAGACAATGTCATATAACATTGTTATATTGCATTGTTATTCTAATGTGTACAGTATTGTTATATGTTGCAATGTTGTAAACAATGTTACATAATGTGGACGTGTTATAAAACAAAAGTTATACAACATATTACTTGATCTGTACGCACCCTTAGGTATTCAGGTCGCTCATATATTTCTGGGTGGAAAAAAAAACCAAAGAGTACCAAGTAAAGAGCACATGGTTGATAATAGAACCTTCGTACAAACTCACTATAAGACTGTTTCTGTATCTTATTGTGTGTACATAAATAAATTAAAAAAAAAAAACAACCGCTGGGTATGAAGTGATCGCTACCGTGCTGTTACTAAATGTTTTCATAATAATTGTATAAAATTATATATTGTGTAATTGATTTATATTTAAAAAAAAGTCCCGCTGGGTTTCTTGCTGGTTCTTTTCAGGGCAGATTTTTCCAAACCGGTGGTAACAGTAACAATATAACTTAAATTAAAAAAGAACCTCGAAACAAAAACAGCTGATGATCTTCAAACGGCTGAACCGATTTTCTTGAATCATAGTTAAGAACATTCTTGATTAAGACACTTTTCAAAAGAAATAAACTCAATCAAAAACGGCACATCCGTTCTCAGTAGCTGTAATGTCACAGATACACACACAGATACACACGTTAAACATAAAAACATATAACATCCCTCTTTTTCGTCGGAGGTTAAAAATGATTTTCAATAAAAATTACCTGTAATATACATTGAATAAAAATGATTCTATTCTATTATATTCTTCCTTAAAAGTTCTGAATTGCTCAAGGTAGATCGATGGCAATGACAGTTCTTAACAATGTTCATCAAATAAGATTATACACTTATACTAGGATTATTTTGTGCGTGCAGTTTGTTTCATAAATTATCGGAGTATTTCGCTCTCTCTCCCACTCACGGGCCTTAGGGGCGAGCATAGTGATGCGCATTATTGTTGTCGATAAGAGTTATCGATAGTGTATTTAGTTTTGTCATTATGTGGGCTAGTGATAAAAATGAAAAAAAAATTAGATAAAACAACGTATTTATTAAAATAGAATAATAATGATTTAAAATAAATTACTAATCAGGTATCTATTAAAAAAAAAACTCTAAGTACAAATGTTTCGAACGTAACAAGTTATATTAAAAATAAATATAAATATAAAGATAATAACTTATATCTAACATAAAATTTGTTGTTATCGATAATGGCGTTGCGCCCGCGCAATTTGCTCACCGCCCTAGCCGGGCTGAAGCTGAGCTATGATTTATGACCCCAACTGCACGCACAAAATAATTTTACTATAGGCAAGTTATTCTCACCAGGAGCAAGCTCGAAAATTTATTCTCATCCCAAAGCAAAGTTTGTTGTGCTGTCAAGCTTTCTGCAATTTTATTTACTTCACTGAATTCATCGCGATCTATTGGATCTATGGCGGAAGAAGGGTCTTCAGCATTAAACACCGACTCATCGATAGTTCTCGGTTAATTAAATATTCGAGCCAAGTTTTTACCACGCGTTTTTGACGTACCCCATTAGATACCTGGATTTGAGTATTTTTTTTTACATTTAATATGGACATTGATCGCACATTCATCATCAAGATCAGGCAGAAGAAGTTCTGACGATATTATCTACAGATACTGGCACGTTGATTGCCTGTCGCAAAATTTCATACTGATCATTTCCGTGTCGAAGTCTCCTGATGGTCATGATGATAATCGTGACGAGATGAGACGCTCAGAAATCAAGTCAAGTTCAGGCAAATGAGGCCTCGATGGACATTTAAAGCCATTAGACTTTGATAGTGTCGGAATTTTATTTTTACAAGTGCCAAACGTCACGTACTGCAGACGCAAGCAGTTTCAAAATTGAGATCTGGAAATTCAGCCGAGATAAATTCTCTTGCACGTGGAGGTGGGCTTTTCATATTATTTTCGTACCATAGACGATCACAAACACTACATACAGCACCAAAATTATTGTTCAAAAACGGTTCCAAGCTCATCGTAAGCGGTACTGAATTTTCGATAATCGTGACACTTGTTCAACATCTTCTCTTTATTGTTCGACATCGGTAGGGCGTGGGTGAATTTCTGCAAGGCCAGTATTACACGCAGTCGCTGTTGATGTAGACATAGTAGCAGAAAATGGCAGCGATGGCAATTTTAAAGTTGATAAAGGAGCAGTTGAGTCGGCCGTTGATGTCTGTGAGAGAATTAAGTTCGCTACACGTGCCCGATAATCTCTGCTACGCTGAGTCGAATTACGCGCAATTTTCTTTAGCTCTACCTTTCCAGTTTTTAATTTTTCCTCACGTTTTTTCTGCCGGTAAGCTCGCATATATTCTGCTCTTGATTTACCCATCTCTGCAACTTACGAAACCATTAGAATTAAATTAGAATCATAAATATGTAAAAGATTATTAATATAATTTGAAATTTTGTCCAACAACATTTTGTAAAAAATATTAAGAATAACTCAAAAATTATTGGTCAGACCTTAATCAAATTTATATGGGACTACATGAGAAGCACCAGATTTCAAACAAAAAATGAATCATCGAAATCGGTCCACCCAGAAAAAAAATATGAAGGTTAACTCATAACTTTTTTTACACATAAACAAAAGAAAAAAAGAACATACAATCGAATTGAGTACCGTCTCCTTTTTCAAGTCGGCAGATAAAAAAAATATGTAACGGACACCGAACATTAAGATTTTATTTACTTATATTATATATAGATGTTTACATTATGTACTATAATAAGATAGAGATAAGTTGTATTCCGTAAAAAGTCAATATAGTATCGACAGCGAGACCCTATCTACGCTCCACGGGCGCAACTAGTTTTTTGCTGACTTCCAAATAGGAGACGGTACTGACTCAATGTATTTTTTTTAATGTGTGTTACCTCATAACTTTTTACTGGGTGAACCGATTTCGATGATTCTTTTTTATTTGAAAGCTGGTACTTCTCGTGTGGTGAAATGTGAATGTAATCAAGGTCAGACCAATAGTTATTGAGTTATTCTTAATAACTTATATTGAAGTCGGCTGTACAAAATTTTTAATTTTAAATTATAATGTCAACGTATCGAGTCAGTGCAGTGGCGGTGTAAGAATATCCACTACTTCATATCGTCCCGTGGGAGTCGCAAGAGGCGACAGAGGGAAATTGAAACAGATGATGGACAGCAGCATGTTCTTGATAACAACTCCAAATAATAAAAAAATGCAGTTGACAACCCGCTCGTCAGGCGTGTCTACTTAGGCGAAACCCCCTCATGAGGCAATCTATGGGGAAGGCCTATGTTCAGCAGTGAACTTTAATAGGCTGTAATGGATGGATGTATAGAAGATAATCTACCAGGAGCACATGACCCACTGAGAGGTAAAATTTTCAAATCAACAGTAACATTACAACTATGGCAACATCCACTCTATGAGGCAATCTATGCGGGAGGCCTATGTTCAGCGGTGGACTTTTATAAGGGTATCGAATCTCAGAAAGTTTTATAAGTTATTAATTAGGATGATGTAAAGAGATTTTTTGGATATTATGTTTATTTTACTCTAATATTTATAAATTTAATAATTTGCTATTGGATTTACTATTGTAATTGTAAATATGTACATAATACTTATTGAAAGTAATTTTTTTATATACCACTTGTTCGGAAAACATCTCTGTTAGGAAGGATCAGCAAGAAACATTACAGTAATAGAATGACAGCATCTTGACGTTCACCTCATTCCCAGGGGTTGTTTTCATTCATGTATTCCTTTATATTATAATAACCCTTTTTGCACAATTTTTCTTTAATGACACTTTTAAACTTGTTTATTGGCAAACTTTGAACAAGTTCTGGGATTTTGTTGTAAAAGCGTACACATTGCCCCATAAATTAATTACTAATTCTGTGAAGTCTAGTAATTGGCACTACAAGCTTATTTATTTATTTAATTAAAATTTTTTTGTGCCTTACAGAAAATTCAAAACGCACACAACGTTAAATTTACATGCAAAAATGCATTTACATTAAAAAAAATGTATCTATTTATTAAATATAATCTATAAAAATTAATATATAAAAATTAATAATTATAATAGTGATATAAATCTCGAAGCTTTTAGCGGCCCGTGTCAAGAAATTAAAACAATAACAAATCGAATTGAATCAATAAAATAATAAATACTTAACGATATTTAAAAAAAGAAATGCCGCAATCGTTGTACGATTCTTTTTTTACGTTGTCAGGCTATGAAATGTTTTGTCATAAATAAAGGTACATAGTCAAAGAAATTAAAATGTCTAATTATTCATTGTCATGTCATCGATAATTTTATAGAAAAGAGTCAGCTTCTATACAAGGTCATTTTTAATTTACTAAAGACCTTTTGGGAATATATAGGTTGTATCATTACAAACAATTTTATCGAAATCACTCTTTACAGAATGTAATACATTTACAAAAAACTACTTTTAAGTTTTTATTGTCATGTCTGATTCCTTGTAAGTCTATATTTTGTAGTACCTAAACAATTTTTTAATAAAGCGTCAAAGAATTTTTTTTCTTTTTTATATCAGTATCAAATAAAATGTATAATAGGGAATTATAAAGTATGATCATCGTGTTCAAATAAAATGTATAATAGGGAATTATAAAGTATGATCTCTGCAACGCTAATTTTCGACGTTCGCAATATTAAGTCACGTAATTCATATGCCAAAGGCGCGTCACATAAGTTATAACCTTGTTCTTAGTCTCATTAAGAGGCAGATGGGTTACTTCACACTATTCCGACACCGCATCTTTGTCCTATTGAAGAGCATGTACATCAGCAGCACTGCACTGCCAATCCCCAAGCTTAATTTAAGATTGTATGCGAATAACAGACACTTCGCGGATTTTACTTTGGTAGGCAAGTCATTTATTAACATTAATAATTAAAAATTAAAAATGCTGCTGTTCATCATCTGTTTCAATTTCCTTCTGTCGCCTCTTGCGACACCCACGGGACGATATGAAGTAGTGGATATTCTTACACCGCCACTGCACGGCACGGCACTGACTCGATACGTTGAGATTATAATTTAAAATTAAACATTTTGTACAGCCGCCTTCAATGTAAGTTATTAAGAATAACTCAAAAACTATTGGTCTGACCTTGATCAAATTCATATGGAACCACACGAGAAGTACCAGCTTTCAAATAAAAAAAGAATCATCGAAATCGGTTCACCCAGTAAAAAGTTATGAGGTAACTAACACATAAAAAAAAAACATACAGTCGCATTGAGTACCGTCTCCTTTTTGGAAGTCGGCAGAAAACAGCGTATGGCCAAGAGTACTGCCCTGACTCACACCAGATCTAGTGAAATAATCAGCGGATTCGAAATCACTTACTGTGGCGCGCATAGCTCCTCGATTTATTATTACTCGGACGGGTAGGTCCATTCGTGTGCCGAGTCGATATATTGATAACGTCATAATTATAAAGTACACTCTAGAGGGCGCTGTAGGTGGAGACAGTAATTCACGGGTTGTTAACTCCCATAGACACACTGCTCTATGATTATTATTCTGCTCAGTTGCTCACTCAAGAATAAAATAAATGTCTGAACTCGCAAGCAACCATAATTTCTCATAATTACTTTAAGCCTAGATAGTTAATTATAATAGAACCTATTTGTAACGTTTTCCTTTAACTGTGTCAATTTTGTAAAATAAATCGTTTGTTCTATTATTTTCTGGCGTTTTGTTTTTTTTTAATTCTATATAACACCGCTACACTACTCTAACGATTTTTTTTATATGATAAGGGTGACAAACGAGCACACAGTCCACCTGATGGTAAGTGGTTGCTGCGGCCCATAGACATCTACATCTATCGACTACGAATCAAAGTGCAGATGCGTTGTCACCCGTGAGGACTAAGATGTAATGCCTCGTTTCCAGTAAAAAGGGTCATCGGGTCTCTACTCACTATACAACATAGTTAAGCTGCTATTTTACGCCGGTATTCTGTGAGAGCGTGGTCCTTCCCCGGTCGAACCGACCCATTCGTGCTACAACTATACCACTAATTAAGTGTTATTGACGCAATATTTTAGTACAAGTCTTCATGAATTCGGATGTTTGTACGTGTAATCGAAATAGAAGTGTCAATCATGAATGATTTGTTAATTTGACCCGAGCCACATCAAAGTATTGAAGATTTTTTGAACATTCTGGATCAAACGATTGACAGGACCTATGACCAAAGACATCTACATCTATCGACTACGAATCAAAATGCACATGCGTTGTCACCCGTGAGTACTAAGATGTAATGCCTCCTATCCAGTAAAAAAGGTCTCCGGTTCTATACACTCACCATACTATTTTTCGCTGGTATTCTGTGAGAGCGTGGTCTTTCTCCGGTCGAGCCGACCTATTCGTGCTACAACTATACCTACTACTAATATAGCTGCAGCATGGCTCCATCACGTAAAACGTCGTCGAATTGACGACGATTATCCAAATAGCTAGCAAAGAATTGAAACTTCGGTGTAAAGCCTAACTTAGCTAGCTTCTGTAACATTATGTCGTTACTCACGAGGTCAAGCCTTCCTAAAATCGAAATGCGGCGTCTGCCTGTCTCCTAGAATCCACTTCTGCACATGCATAGTCCACGTGTGCTATCAGATTAGTATCCGTTGAGCGATTTTTTCGGTACCCATGCTGAGTGTCATGCAAAATGTTTTTTTTAATAGGATAATGGTTGCAAGGGAGCACACAGTACACCTGATGGGAAGTGGTTGCTGTGGCCCATACACATCTACAACTATCCTCGTTTGCGAATCAAAATGCAGATGCGTTGTTACCAGTGAGGAATAAGATGGAATGCCTCGTTTCCAGCAAAAAGTTTCCTATTCTCTACACTCACCATACGAAACAGCAACATTAACCCATTCGTTGCGGCACAGATTTTCGACAACTTTTAGCTATGGCGGCGAACAAATATTTGCCACAGAAGTTGATGACACGCCTATTGTGCCATCAGCCATGTGTATAATTTAAAATTTAAAATTTTGTACAGCCGACTTAAATATAAGTTATTAAGAATAACTCAAATAACTCAAAAACTATTGGTCTGACCTTGATTAAATTCATATGGGACCACACGAGAAGTATCAGCGTTCAAACAAAAAAAGAATCATCCAAATCGGTTCACCCAGTAAAAAGTTATGAGGTAACACACATAAAAAAAACATACGCGTCGAATTGAGTACCGTCTCCTTTTTGGAAGTCGGCAGAAAAGTAATGTTCTTTTTTATGCTTTTTTCACTTGTTTAGACCTAATTAAGTTTAGTTCACATCAAACAT